ACTGTAGATACTGGGGTGACAACACAGAGTAAAACCATCCCTGCTCTCACAAGTTATTGCTGAAATGAGGGAAGAAACAAAAATAGAATATTACATGCTGCCCTGTGTGGCATTTATGGAGAAAATGGGGGTGTGAATTAGGCCAAGCAGCACATGCAGCTCCAGGAGGCTCCCAGCCCTTCTCTGCTCTCCATCTCCCAACCCTCCTCCATTTCTGTTCTTCCCCAAGGATTTCAAGGAAGTGGAAGCTGCTTTACATGCCATGAAGTATGTGGCCTCGCTAATCAATGAATGAAAATGGAAACTTGAAAACATCAACACGATTGCTCAGTAGCAGAGCTCCATAGAGGACTGGTAGGTGAGGGCCCAACACTCCAGAAAATACTGTGACTTGACCACTTGTTTTAAAATCATACTTCTGAAAAATCTAGGAGGGAGCTGGGGCAAGGAGCTATGCTCCTGGAACTAGCAAATAAGAGCTGATAGCAGGAAACCCACTCACCTGAACTCTGGGCCCCGATCCCTTAGTGCTGCTACCCAAAGCAGGCCTGGTTGCCCCTTTCCTGGAGAAGACTGTGTGGGAGTTGACTCATGTTACACAGCCACAAGAGATAAGTATGATGCTGCTTCCAAAGTGCAGCTGCCCAGCCCAGCAAGAGGAGCTGTTCTCTGCCTTCAGGGAACAGGTCAAATCCCCAAGTCTGGGGATTCCCAGCAGAAGGGTGCAGGCTTGCCAGAGCATCACCACAGATGGATCACTATGAATCAGAGTGTCCTGTTTTTTTTTGTTTTGTTTTGTTTTGTTTCTGGCTTGCACATTCCACTTGTATCTGCCAATACTGTCTTCTAAGGCAGCATGGAGGTCTGAACTAATAGTGGCATTTCAGTCCTTCAAGAGGCATTCCCCTCCCCCCTTTTAAAATTTTAATTGAATTTATTGCAGTGACACTGGTTAACCAAATTATACAGGTTTCAGGTGCACACTTCTACAACACATCAACTGTACACTATTGTGTTCACCACCCCGTTAGATGTCTATCCATCACCATGTACCTCCTGTATGCTCCTCCATGTCCCTCCATTCCTCCTCCCCTAGGCAATCACCACAATGTTGCCTGTGTCCATGAGTTTTATTATTTTGCTCAATCCTTCCACTTTCCCTGCAGCCCCCATCCCAACAGCTATCAGCCTGCTCTTTATGGGTCTGTAATTATTTTGCTTGTTAGCTCATTATGTTCATTAGATTCCACATAAAAGTAAAATCATACAGTACTTGTCTGTTTCTGACTGGCCTATTTCATTTAGTATAATGCTCTCCAGGTCCATCCATGCTGCCACTAAAGGTAAGGCTTGCTCCTTCCTTCCTTCCTTCCTTCCTTCCTTCCTTCCTTCCTTCCTTCCTTCCTTCCTCCCTTCCCTTCCCTTCCCTTCCCTTCCCTTTCCTTCCTTCCTTCCTTCCTTCCTTCCTTCCTTCCTTCCTTCCTTCCTTCCTTCCTTCCTTCCTTCCTTCCTTCCTTCCTTCTCTCTCTCTCTCTCCCTCTCTCGCTCTCTCTCTCTCTCCCTCTCTCGCTCTCTCGCTCTCTTGCTCTCTCTCTCTCTTTCTTTCACAGTCAAGTATATTCTACTGTGTAAATGTATCACACCTTTTTTATCCATTCAGGCCAAGTGGCACAGCCCCACATGGCCTCAGTTGCTTCCAAATCTTGGCTATGTAAGTAATGCTGAATGAACACAGGGGTGCATTTATTCTTTCGAATTAGTGTTTCTGGTTTCTTTGGTTAAATTCTCAGAAGTGGAATCAGTGGGTCATAAGGCAATTCCTTTTTCTTTTCTTTTTTTTTTTAATCAATCTTTATTGTTCATATTATTACAAAGGCTCCTCATTTCTTCCCCCTTCCACCAGGTTCCCACCCCACCCTCAGCCCCCTCCCCACCCCCCATTGTCCTCATCCATAGGTGCACAGTTTATGTTCAGTCTCTTCTTCCCTCCCTTTCCCCGAGAACAGTCAGTCCACTCCACTCCCATAAATGGTCTTTTTTTTTTTTTTTTTTTTTTTAAAGATAACTCTATACTGCTTTCCACAATAGTTGTACCAATATGCATTCCCACCAACAGTGCACAAGAGTTCCATTTTCTCCACATCCATACCAACACTTGTTGATTTATTGATGATAGTCATTCTGGTAGGCATCAGGTGATACTTTATTGTGGTTTTAATTTATATTACAGACTAGAGACCCAGGGCATGGAATTCATGCACGGTAGGATCGGGCCTAAACGGGCAGTCAGGCATCCCTCTCATAATTCAGGACTGCTGGCTCCCAGCTGCTCACCTGCTTGCCTTCCTGACTGCCCCTAACTGCTTCTGCTTGCCAGCCTGATCACCCTCTAACCACTCCCCTGCCAGCCTGATTGATGCCTAACTGCTCCCCTGCTAGCCCGATTGCCCCTAACTGCTCTCCCCTGCCAACCTGGTTACCCCTAACTGCCCACCCTTGCCAGCCTGGTCACCCCTAACTACCCTCCCCTGGCTGCCTGGTCCCCCCCAACTGCCCTCACCTACCAACCCAATCACCCCTAACTGCCCTCCCCTGCCACCCTCATTGCTCCTAACTGCTCTCCCCTGCTTGCCTGGTCCCTCTCTTCTCCCCAAATGCCCTCCCCTGCAGGACTTGTCACCCCTAACTGCCCTCCACTGCAGTCCTGGTTCCCCCCCACCCCACTTCCCTCCCCTGCAGGTCTGGCCTCCCACAACTGCCCTCCCCTGCCAACCTGATCACCCCTAACTGCCCTCCTCTGCCACCCTCATTGCCCATAACTGCTCTCCCTGCTTGTCTAGTTCTCCCCCGCAACTGCTCTCCCCTGCAGACCTGGTACCCCCACCCCAATTGCCCTCCCTTGTAGGTCTTGTCCCCCCAAACTGCTCTCATCTACAGACACACACAGGAAACCTTTTTCCCCTGGAGCCTTGATTAAGGGAGAACTTTCCTTGGTCTTGCCCTTAGGGCCCGATAATGGTGGCAGAGTAAGTAGTCCAGAGACTATGGGGTGGCCCTCACAACCTGACCAGGGCCCATTACTAAAAGAACATCCTCCTCTCTGAACAAAACTCAGCTTCTCCTCCCTAGCCCTGGAGTCCTCTGCTCCAGTAGCTTCCCTACCTCCTCTGTGCTGCTAGCTGTAATCCTCTTTTAAAACAATGCCTAAGTGATCCTCTCCAGAAGCCCTCTTGATAACTGATTCGGTTTGGGTATACCTTGTGCTCTTCTCTGCTGTGGTGTGGACCCTGGATCACTCTCTGTATCCATGGCTGCTTTCCACAAAACTACAGGTGCTTTTAAAGATTCTCAGGCTAGCCAGTAATTTAACTGAAGGAGGGAGGCTCTTCATCATACATTTGGCACATAATTGGGGGCTGTATGAGGCTCACTATGCCCTTGTGAGCTCATCCTCTGCTGGGGAGGTAGGTGTGTGGCCCACCAGCCCTTCTAGTAACAGGGAAGTGAGTGAGACATGGCCTTAGAGATAGTCAGGAGAGCAGTTCAAAAGATGGGGAAGGATCCAACAAGCAGGCTGGGCTGGCTGCTCACATTGCCTCTGGCAGGACCTTCTACACCAGGATGTGCTGTATTATAAGGGCCAATGTGTATTATAAGGGCATGGATAGCTTGGAGGAAGTGGATCTAGAGTACTGGAAGGATAAAGACCTCCATCAAGAATGCCTTCCAGTTGCACTATGGAACCATGGGAGAGAGCTACCTATTGTGTGCCAGGAGCCTGACCAGAAGACAGATGAACTACCCCTCTCAACTTAGCTGCACTGCAAGGGCCCACCAGGCCTTCTTACCCCAGAATGCAAGGTCAGGACAACCACTGACTGGGACAGTATGTCTCATGAACCAAGAGTCTGAGGGTTTGGTGAGGCTCCAGGGTATCTTTTGATTTCAGCCCCAGGAAATGGTTCTGCTGGCCTTGTTCACTCAAGTGTGCTCAGTTGCAGGTACCAGGGGGAGCCCCTTTCTAGGGCAAGCCCTGGGATAACACTGGAGTGGTGGGACTGACCTCCAGAAGCCTATACCATCCCCATATGAGCAGGATATCTCCACACCATATTCCCCTTCTGTCCATGTGCCCCTTGTCCTCATACTCAGCAGTGACCAGATTGGCTTACCGGATCCAGCCAGTATCACAGGTCCTGAAAGTAGGGCTAGGAGGTTTAAGAGAAATAAAGACAAGAGAAAGCGGGGCTTCAGGAGGACTGCTAGTCCATGGTGAGACTGCAGTAACTTTATTAGTTGCAGGCGTACATTTATGCGGCCTTTCTGGGTGTTTCTCCAAGTGCCCCTTTCCCAGGACAAGGCCGCCCGTCAGCTCCTTAAGGCGTTTTTGGAAAAAGATACATAGAGCAGGCATCTGGCTAGATATCATTGAGAACAGCTTAGCTGAGAACATCCAGATAAGTCATGCATCACACGCACTCCCTAACAATGGGGCTATGGTCTGCCCTGTCCCTAGTTGACCCTGAAGGCTTAGGGAGAGCAGGTAGGCATCCCTACCCTGTTCTCAATCCCTTGAAGGAGAGCAGGTAGGCGTCCCTACCCTATGCTCCATCCTTGCCCTCGGGCCCCACGGAACACGGCTTCCCACATTGGCTCTTGGCTTGGGAAAAGCCTCTGGTGAAAGATGGGTTAGGGCAAGGGGAGAATGTGGGTAGGGCTCTGAGAAGGGCACCAGGAAGGACATCTTGGCTCTTCCTTGAGCCAAGCCCAGCTGGCTGGGCAGGACACAGTCCCTGCAGCATGATGAGCCCTTTGCACTGTAGAAGGAGTATGATACACAGAGAACTGCTCCATGGCCAGAAAGCACAGGACAAGAGTACTGTGGGCAGGGGAGGAGGGGAAAGTAGAAGAGTAGCAAAATCCTGACAGGGAAGCAGATATCCTATTTGTGCCCCTCCCTCCCAGGCTTCTCCATTACTGAGCTGTAGAGGGAGCAGGCCATGCCGAATGCCAGCAAGCAGCAGGCAGCCGGGAAGCCCAAAGGTAAGCAGGTGGTAGTCCTATATCCACTTTAGCAGCCTAGTCCTGATCAAACCCTTCTCTGGCCCCCAAGGCAAAGTGAGCTAGCACCTAGGTCCTCCATTACCCACTGCCCTTTGCAGGTATTTGGTCCCAAAGGTTGGTGATAGGGGGTCACCACTGATGAAACTTATGTCAGTATACATTTGAAATTCTTGCTCTCAATCATCTCAGACACCCCCGCCCCCAAGTAATTCCATTAGTAATAGTGACAGTGCTCACTTTTCCTGGCCTTTGTGGCAGTCATCCTCACAGCAGCCTTACATCCCAACTCCCACAGAAGCATTGAAACTGCCTTGCACAGGGTCTATGCCATGGAGAAGCTCCAGAACCTCACACCTTCCAGGTCCCTTAGCCCTTATCTCTGCACACTATAAGAGAGGGGCTCAAGCTCCTAGGTATAGTAACTCCACAGAAAGCAAGTTCCCTATCATGGTAGTCTGAGGCAAAGCCTTGGGACAGGTCCCATTCCACCACACCATAGCAGAGAATGCTATTCTTCCCTGTATTAACGACTCTCTAGGCACCTATATAACCCCCTCTCCTTATCCAGCCCTCAGACAGCCCTACTATCTGATGCACCTGACATTGCCTGCCCTAGCAACAGGTCTTGGTGTTGGCAGAGCACAAGTAGAAGCCATCCACCTCTGTATAGCATTACTGGCTGGCGCCCTTGCTCAAGTGAGCCTATGCCCCACCAACAGCACTGTCTGGATGGACCTGCTCTGCCAGCTAGTCTCCAGCTTTCCCTCCCCAAGGTTCACCCATGGCTTCCAGCCCTCCTCTGCCTACTCTGCAAACTGGAAGTGAGCAGGGCTGAGCAAGGAAGTGGTGTGGTGCCACCAGTGCCAGGCTCTACACCTATTCTTGATTCTTCCTCACTACTGATTTCAGCTGGAGGGGCAGGAGCCCCACAAAACAGGAACCTCCCACCACCTTCCTGACCTTTGTGGGGCCTCCTGGAAATTATAGCTGAGAACCAACAGCCAGACGGAAAGGACTGTGTGAAAGGACTGACTACTTCAGACTCTCTTCTTCATACATCTAATCATTCTTCCTTTATCTGGGCAGGAGGAGGCTGTCTGCCTTCCATCACTTGGAAAGCTAGGCTGTGTGCCCCTTTGCCCTCCAATTCTCCTTGCAGGCCTCCAGCTGATGGTGCCAGGCAGCTGACATCCCTGGAGGGTGGGAACCGGATATTCTGCATATGACCACATCTGACACCAAAGCCCACCCATTTTGCCTCCTTGTTCCTTTCTAGACATTCTCTTCATTTGTAATGTGTTTATAATCAACTTCAAACTTCCGTCAGGGTATGTCCACATGTAGCTGTGTGTTGACTCCAGAACCTGGTTCCAGTTTTTTTGTTTGGATTTTGTTTTTCTAAAAATGAAGAAAAAGAATTGTTAGTGACACAGGAAGATTTTCTTATCCTAAATGAGCATGAGAAGCCATAAGGATTGAATTTTATAGCCAACAGCACTGTCTGGATGGACCTGCTCTGCCAGCTAGTCTCCAGCTTTCCCTCCCCAAGGTTCACCCATGGCTTCCAGCCCTCCTCTGCCTAGAACTGACCAGAAACCAGTGAGTATGTGGGTTGGAGGGGGAAACTACATCCCATCCCAAGGAAGGGTGCCCATGAGGACAGACAGGGCCTGGCTTGTGGGTGCAAAGTGCCGAGCAGGCCCTCTGGTCCATTGGAATTCAGCAGCATGTAGTCACTTGCAATACTCTACCTTCTCTAAGCCAGACACTACATTTAATTTCATAAAGAAACTTGTAAAAAACAAACTGGCTGCCAGCCCTTGTTTTCTTTTGATGTCTATGCATTTTCTCCTCTGTATGCCCACCCTTCTGTGCCCTAGGCCTTTCCTTAACCTGGAGGAAATAATCCCAGTAGCACCCAGAATTGGGAATAGGGCCACACCTAGTTGAGATCACGCCTCAGGGCTTTGGTGAAAAGACGCTAAAGTGGCTTGAAAGAGGCTCAGAGCCCCTGGGAGCTGTCCAAGTGTAAAGTATGGCTGGCTCAGCCTCTCCCTCCCTGACTGCTCTCAGAGTTTATATTTAGCTGAAGTTAGCAAAAGTGTTCAGGGGACTGGCAGTCCATAATCTTTCTGGGTCTTAGCATCTTCCTTAGTGAAAGGGGGAAGAATGTGTCTTCCCAGGAGGACCTGAGTTATAGGACCAGGAGAAGAGGATTGAGGGTGGCTTTCCTCCCGCTTCCCACCTAGGGAAACAGTTCTCACAACTGTGACCTCCACATACCCTTACACACTGCCAAGGTCAAGAGTACCTGGTTTGAGTTGGGAGGTAGCTGAGCATTATAGGGCTTTTGCTCGAAACCACTGGATTTCCTAACTTTAGAGAAGCTATAACACCTGCTCAGGCAGGTAAACCACCTTGAGACAAAATCTACAGGGAAAAATCATGAAAACAATAATATGCAACACAAGTCAATCTTTATTCAAAACTGCAGTGTTAATACATAGCTCTTGTTACAATAAACGTGTTTTTAATAATTTTAAATCTAAGCTCATCTACTTATCAGATTGCATAAAAAATTAAAACAGTATAAATTTATAAACATAGAACTAGATCAGGATGGGTATTTCATTCCTTTGTACTGACTGACACCTAAGTTCAGTAAGGGATGCCTTTCACACTGGAAGCCAATGCTGACATACGTTTAAAAATGTACCAAGAAAACAGTCTAAAAAACAGTATTTAGAAATGATTTAAAAAATTTTTTTTAAAGGAACCTTTTCCTGGTCAGTCACAACTTATGTGGCTCCTTGGTACTTCCATTCAAGTGGCTGTCAGAACAATCCTACAGGGAGCATAAGAGTGCTGGCCTCAGATCTAGTCTGACTATTCACTCATCTACACAAGGACCTGGGGAGTCTCCAACAGGGCTCAGAAGGAAAGATGAGCTGCCTGACATCTCAACATACAAATTTTGGAGAATACCATTTCCCATAGTTAATTCGGGTTCCCTGGATAGAGATGTCTACATCTCCTCTGTCCTTGTCTCAAGTGAGTTGACTTTAGTCCTGGGGACTTTTACAAAGTTGACTAGAGATCCGATGCATGAAATTCATGCACAGGAGGGTGGGTGTCCCTCAGCCCAGCCTGCACTGTCTCTAATCTGGGACCCCTTGAGGAATGTCCAACTGCCTGTTTAGGTAGGATCCCGGTAGGATCGAGCCTAAATGGGCAGTCAGACATCCCTCTCACAATCCAGGATGCTGGCTCCCAACACTTGCCTGCCTGACTTCCTGATTGCCCCTAAATGTTTCTGCTTGCCAGCCTGATCACCACCTAACCACTCCCATGTCAGCCTGATTGACGTCTAACTGCTCCCCTGCTAGCCTGATTGCCCCTAACTGCCCTCCCCTGCCAGCCTGGTCACCCCTAACTGCCCTCCCCTGCAGGCCTGGTCCCTCCCTCCCCCCAATGTCCTCCCCTGTAGGCCTGGTCACCCCCAACTGCTCTCCCATGCAGGCCTGGGTCCCCCCAACTGCCCTTCCCTGCAGGCCCAGTCAACCACAACTTCCCTCTTTTGCCAGCCTGGTCACCCCTAACTGCCTTCTCTGCAGGCTTGATTGTCCCCAACTGCCCTCCCTTGTAGGCCTGGTCCCTTCCAACTGCCCTTCCCTGATGGCCTGATTGCTCACAACTGTTCTCCCTTGAAGGTCTGGTTCCTCCCAACTGCCTTCCCCTGCTGGCCATCTTGTGGTGGCCATCTTGTGTTCATATGGGGGCAGCCATCTTGTGTGTTGGAGTGATAGTCAATTTGCATATTACTCTTTTATTAGATAGGATACAGGCCTGGTGCATGGGTGGGGGCCAGTTGGTTTGTCCTGAAGGGTGTCCTGGATCAGGGTGGGGGTTCCCTTGGGGCATGGGGCAGCATGGGTGAGGGGGTTATAATGGTTTTCAGGCCTGCTATACCCCCCCATCAACCCAAGCAGAGGCCTGGTATCTGGGATTTATTTATCGTCTACAATTGAAACTTTGTAGCCTTAAGCAGAGGCCAGGACAGGCCAGGGCTGCAGGAAGCTTGGCTTACTCCATCGCTGGGGGCAACTCAAGCTTCCTGTTCTCTCCAGCTCTGTGGCCACTGCCATATTTGTTGGGTTAATTTGAATACTCGCTCCTGATTGGCTTGTGGGTAGCGGAGGTACAGTTAATTTGCATGTTTCTCTTTTATTAGATAGGATGACACCACAGGTTTTCTGTTCAAGTGAATAGGGTGGATAAAAAAATAAATTCTCTGAAACATCTAAGATCAACTTACAATTTTCTAACTGAAAAGATCAGACCCTCCTCTGAAGCGTGTCATCTGCAGTCTGCTCAAGACAGATGGTCACACACACACTTGAAATTTGCCAGAGAGGAAAGCTAAACACCCTGCCCTTCTCTAAGCTAACCACACTCCTCTTTACAGATTATCCCCATTCCATAGAAAGCACAAGAGAAGGATCAGAAGTTGCTTCCCACCTCAAGCTATGCCTCCTTAAACCACCCTTGCAACCCATGGAGGGTGTCAGACAGGTGTCCTGTCCTATATGGGCAATGCTCAGGCTAGCAATGACTGAGGCACACAGCTGCCAGATGGAGAGAAGGTGGCCTAACTGGTCCAAATATTGCTGTTTCCAAAGGACAGGAGAAATTTGGGCTCCTTTTTAAAGCAGGGTCCACTATTGAAGTGGCCTGTGTTTACTATCCTTCCACAATCAATCACTGGCAGGTACACTCATGGAAACCCACATAAAGGAACAACATTGCCAGATATTTGCACATCCAAAGTACCTTAAGGATATATTTCCTCTCATTTCTAAAGTCATGATGCTACCAGAGAGAGCCAGGCATTGTCTGCCCAACTTGGGAAGGACAGGATGCTTAATAACCAGGTGTTCATCCCAAGCCTTAGGATCTTCCTCAATCTCCTGTAAATGCTGTTTGCTTTGTACACAAGGAAGTCACAGAATAGCAATTGGTAGGCCTAAGAACCACACCAACAAGAAGGCACTGAAAAGATTTAACATAAGAAACATAAAAGATTCTAGAAGTACCTATGTGCCTGTTTACCAGGCCCTGGCCCTGATGTTATCCTTCCTTCTCAGAGGCAGCAAGTTAATAGGATCATGGCTTACTCATCACTAAACACTCAGTTATCCAGTCTAGAGCATTCCCATAAGCAGAGAAATGGACCCCCTAAACTTTAGGAAAAAGGCTGTAAAAACAAAACAAATTAAATATCCATGATAATGTCCATGTTAATAGAAATTAGGATCTTTTGCTTGCCTGTCTCAATTTCTAAAACAACTATAATGCAGTTAAAAGGCTCTCAAATTAGAAAGCAAAATTTCTTTAAATGTTCCACTGTTGTGCTTTGAATATCAAATTATACAAGTTTATAATAATTATACAAGTTTATAATTCCTTAATTAATTTTACTAGGAAGAATTTGAAACTCTGCTAAAATTACAACCTATAATACTTTTACTATCTGTAAGTCCAGATTCATACATACTAGACAAGGTCTACCTTTCACCATCATATTTGATAGCTGATGCCCTGATAGTTTCAACTGAAAAGACATATTCCGTAACACAATACTATCTAATAAAGTCTCTCAGCTCAACTTGACAAAAGGGAAAAGATTTAAAAAGAAAATTAGGGGGGAAATGTCATGATACTGATATAAATAGGGGGAAATGCAACCCATTCTGCTTTCTCTTGAAAACACCATTTAATTTAGTGCTCATGAAAACACTTACCCTAAGTCTCAAGCAAACCTGAAGAAATATCCTTATATAACTTCTAATAGATTCCCCTTGATTTCAAATTACTCCATCCCTAGGTAGAGAGAGAGTGTGTATGTGTGTATGTGTGTATTCTCTTTTTTTTTTTTGGGGGGGGGGGAGCATTTTATTTTATTTTATTTTTTTTTTTTAAACATATTTTTTCTATTGATTTTGTACAGAGAGGAAGGGAGAGAGAGAGAGTTAGAATCATCGATGAGAGAGAGTCATCAATCAGCTGCCTCTTGCACACCCCCCACTGGGGATATGCCCGCAACCAAGGTACATGCCCTTGACTGGAATCGAACCCGGGACCTTCCAGTCCCCAAGCCGACGCTCTATCCATTGAGCCAAACCAGTTTCGGCTGGGGGGGAGGGGCATTTTAAAAGCATACTCTAAAAATTACATTTTCTTATATCAACTACTTTAACTTGAGGAAACTGAAGTTTCTGTTACTTGTCCCTGGAATCTGTTGATATTGCAAACCATCAGATGGAATTACAACACAAAGTTTAAGAAGTGTGCACAAACTGTACACACACACATTGGTTAAGTGCTTATGAAGCAATTTAAAGTTCTTTTTAGTAAACACACTATGTTAACAGGTATTAGGAATAAGGAATTTTTTTCTTTACATGATCCATGCAAAAATATTCCTAAACTCACTATAAAATATGATATGAGGAAAAAATTACAAAGAATACTTATTATAAAAAATTAGGTTACCAAAGGCTTCCATTCACCAATCTGGTTGAAAGCCTAACCAGAGTTAGAGCCCTGACTTTGTCACCAGAGACATAAGAAGAATAGAATCCCCTCCCCCAACAAAAGCACACAGCACTTGAAACAATGATGGGGTAGAACAGAGGCATACTCCCCCCACCTGCCTAACAAACTGCTGAGATGAGACAAACCCTCTCCTCACACTCCCTGTAACTCTATCTAAGAACAGACTCACGCCCATCAATATAAGTTGAACCCATGTAGGCAAAAAAAGAAAAAATTCCTCAATTTCTTATATACAATATTCATATTATAAACACATTATCCGTTCCGTAACAATCCCTGGCAGACAAATGCATTTTGCGCTACCTAACCCTTTGTTGTCCATACCTGCTTTGTGCTGAGCGCTGTCAGTCGCCAGAAGTGAAGGCAAAAGAGGCTCACAGATAATGGAATTAGACCTCCCCATACCCGACTCCAGATGGTCTCAGAGGATTAAGTCTCCATCAAGTGGATAGGCCTAAACATAGTGGCAGCCCCACCTCTCTACAACAAGTAATCAATTTCAAATAAAGTTTTGTTCCCTTTTTAATAGTTCTTAAATACACAACTTTCTTCAGAACACACAGTTAAAATCTTATTCTTCTTTGTGGGGGAAAGAACAGCAATGCCTCCATATATTTTCGGCTAACTCAAATATTTCTCAGCAAAGAAAAAAAGAGAAATGATTTTCTAAACTAAATAAAGAAGAGAACAATACCACATCCAAATTTTTTCTGTTTATTTCACGTATCGTCTATCCTAGGAAAATAACTTAATTCTACATAGGGCTTTTCCAATACAGATATAGAAAACAGCATCTCTATATGTAAAGAGCTTTGTAATGGTAATTTACATAGCAATCCAGAGAAAACTGCTTTTCTGATAGACAAACTGCTATCTGCCCCTAAATATACTGGCCATACAACTCTAGTCTTTAATGATAATCTTTTAAGAATGTCCGTATCAAACTGACCCCACAAGCCTAAATGAAAAGATAGTGATGCCCATTAACCTGGCTACCCCAGGTAGCTGTGGCCCACCCTATACTCTCTCAGTCCCTACAATTCTCTCCCAGTGCAATAAGTATGGAATAAACACATGGATAAAAACTAAAATTTCATGTTTCCAACTGGCAACCTACATCAACCTCAAAGGTTGAAGAATCACTTAAGAGATTTCAGATGCTCTATGAAGAAATTCACTTTAATACTTACATCTTTAAGAATCTGCATACATTACAATATTGCATTAGTGATACAAGTTATAAAATATTTTCCATTCCCTTGGATTTTGCATATAATGGCTTTGCATCAGTCACTGCAGGTAGTCTGAGCAAGGTGTTTTTTTTTTTTGTTTGTTTTGTGTGTGTGTGTGTGTGTGTGTGTGTGTGTGTGTGTGTTTGCTTTTTAAACATGCCTTCAATTAGATATAATTTCAGAATACATTAGTACTCCCTTTTCATCATTATAGTTAGCTAAAAAAAATTGCCAGGCAGCCCTAAAACAGGAATTGCTTTAAGACCAACCCATAGTTAGTTGGAGACTAATGATGCTGAGATCTGCAAGGCTGGGCAGTAGTAGTATTTAGCTAAGTGTAGAAAGAATTAAAAAGAAAGTCCTGGTTGAGGCATGAGGCCTGCAGTACCAGCTGTAGAATATCCAGGATGTGACTGCACAGTTCCATCCTCAAACCTGGACAGGAAAGAGAAAGACACACAATCACAGAGCTCCTTTGACATTGCTGCTATGAAAAGGAGGTATTTCAATTAGAGGAGGATGAAATCCAAAAAGGGCAGCAGAAGGAAAATGTTCCTGATATCCGTAGACCTCACAGAGGTTTCCAATTATAACTGGAATACTACTTATTTTGAAGGAGGCGGGTATAAGGAACAGCAAGTACTAAATGGTTTCCTTCTTTCTTCTACTTTGAACAGATCCAATATGAGCAAAAATTTAAACACTTGGATGAACAGTCAGGTAGCATTTTTCTCATTAATGCTTAAATTATGAAAGATTTGCCATTTTCCCCTGGGGTGGGGGAAATGCACTTTAGACAAGAGTCAAACTAGGCTTCTCCAGTCACTTACATTTGCAGATGATCACCACTGAGGGGGCACATAGCTATAGGTGGGCGTTCCTGGACCCCGATACGTGGGCACAGTGATTGGATGGGGGGCGACAGGAGTTGGGGAGTGGGCAGTCAGCAGAGTACCTGCAAGAAAGAGGAGTGTATGGCAAGTAGCTGCCTCTGACAAGGAAGGAGGTAAGGAAGAGGGAAAGGGCCTTGGACCTTGACTGCTGTCAGAACTCTGATTATATAAGAACTACTCAAAGATGTACAAACACAGAAAGCTCATAATGGTAATACATTTGTGAAAACCTTTATGTCTTCCCATCATATAAGCATACTTAATTATTTTTGTGGATTAGATGATAAGAGACAAAATAAAAATATTCAGCCTTAAAAGGGAAGAAATTTTTCACATGCTACAACTCACATGAACCTTGAGAACATTATGCTAGGTGAAAAAAAACAGTTACAAAAAGACATGTACTGTACGATTCCACTTATCTGAAGTCCCTAGAGTAGTCACTGATAAAGGCAGAAAATAGAATGGTGATGTCAGGGGTTGGCAGGCAGGGAGAAAGAAAAGTTGTTTAGTGGGAATAGCACTTCAGTTTTGCAAGTCTGGAGATGTTTTACAACAGTGTAAATATACTTAACACTATTGAACTGTACCCTTAAAAATTACTATATGAAACAAATAAATGGAAGAGAGGGATTGAGGAAGATTCCAAACCATATAAACTTCAGAGTACATTAAGCTAAATGTATTTTTCCCTAACCTGAAAAAAAGGCAGTGATTATCTGAGTCCATTTGCAGACAAGCACTACCTCAAAAATAATAGCCTTCACTCTTTTCACTCTCCTGTCTCCTTACCCACACTCATCCCAGACCTGTCTTCCCTTCCCCCTACCTGTCGAAAACATGTACTTTCTGTCTATACATGACTGAAAAGTATAATCTCTTTTGCCTTCAAAGATAAGTATAGGAAAACCAAATAAAATAGAGACTAAGAAGAAACATCTTTCTCTCTGGCATGATTTTCTTATATTGAAATAAAGTCTAGAAAAATATAGAGGGAACAATATTTTTTTTTTAAAAAATCCCAGCCCTGGCCAACCAAGTGCATCGTGTGTACCTGGCCCCTGCCACAGAGGTGCCAGGGCTCCAGGCAGATGTGCCTATCCTAGCCAGGGTTTGCATCTCTCAGAGGTTTATTTTCCTTGGGAAATAAAGTCAATGAATGCCAAAGGATTTCTACAAGCAGCTGTGATGTCTATTAACACAGGACTAGCTTTCCTAGATAGACAATCTGGAATCCATACTAAAGGAACACTGCAAAGGAACCCATACTAAAAGGGGGTACTCGAGTCCAATACCCCAGAATACAAAGTTGCTCTTCTGCTTTACAAAGGAGATCTGCTCACAGAGGATATCTGGTTACTCCTAGTTACTACTGTCAACAAAGTAGCCTTCTGAAATTCAGAAAGTGCTATTCAGTCATACTCTACCAGGAGGGTACTTAGTTCATGATTTATTACTCTAATCCCCACTCCTGTCTTGTCTCAACTGAAAGGAAAAGGGGGGGGGGGGAGGAAAGAAAAATATAATATGCTATTCCTTCCCTAAAGAATATATCCTTCTACGCAATTCTAGACATGAAATATTAAGGCCAGGGGTCAGAATATTAGTGAGCTCCCACTTCCCAGCTCTCATGAACCATAGAACAGGAAATCTAGAGTTGACTCACCTGCTGACATGGCCATAGTGGTCCCAGCCACCATACCCATGGTGACCCCGTTGCCTCTCGGAGGAGTGATGGGAGCAGCGTACATTGTCGCCGGCATACCGTTGGGCTGCACCACTGTAGTGTGGTGGATGACGTGAGGGGGTGCTGCATACAGGTGCTGTGTGTAGAATGTACCTTGCTGTGGGGAGGAAGAAAGACAACTGCAACAGAACTCTACACCCAGTGGGTAAGACCCCAAATGGGATCTACATAAGCCCAAGAATAGTATCAAAAGCCTCACAGTGCACCCAAAGCCTACCTGTGCATATGGGGTTTGGTGGGGGTAGACACTTCGCACAGGGTATATAGCAGTCTGGTATGAGTTGGGGGAGGAGGAATATGGTGACACTGCCCCACTGGTGGGGGAACAGGGCACTTTGTAAGGTGTGCCAGGAGTGTAACCTGAAACAAAGAAGCTCAATGAACTTTTCAGAAATCCACATTTGCCAGCCAAAGGGAAGGAACCAAGTATACAGTGAGAAGCAAATCAGTTTTCCAGCCCTAACCATACTAGATAAGACACCAGTGTGGCCCATATGAGCTCCACTAAGATCTGACTTCGTTACTTACTGTATAAGAATATGTGTTTAGGGTGAGAGTCATTTGGGAAGAAGGAATAAAGACAAAGGGAAAAAGTTATACTGAAAGTACATTCAGCCTGGTCCTCATGGCTCAGTGGTTGAGCATCTACCTATGAACCAGGAGGTCATGGTTCGATTCTTGGTCAGGGCATATGCCCAGATTGTGGGCTCAATCCCTGGAATGGGGTGTGCAGGAGGTGATCAATCAATGATTCTCTCTCATCATTGATGTTTCTATCTGTCTCTCCCTGTCCCTTCCTCTCTGAAATAAAATAATGATTTTTTAAAAAAGTACACTCATATAGAAAAAGGGAAAAAATACCTATCCTAATGGAATATAAATTGGTACAGCCTTCTTGGGACATACTATGGCATTAGTTCCACAATTTCACTTATAAAATTTTGTTTTAGAGAAATAAGCATGAGCTACCAGTTGAGTTTACCAGTTTAGTAAAACCTCCCACAATCACATAAGAATTACAACTAAACTACAGAACTATTACTCAGAACACCTGAAATCTAGCTGAACAGATAGGTGTCCTATAACTAAGGACATAAAGAAGAAGTTACATCAGACTGATATGAGGGATGAAGATGCTGAATGGGCTGGTCCCACAACCACATGAAGCAGTTACTAGGTGTACCAGTTAATTATGGCAGATTTTGTAATCAAAGAAACACAATAATTTCAGAAACATCAAAAGTGCTTTATTCAAAGTAATGTCCATTGGTAGCTACACATTTCCCCCATCTTTCAGGTAATTTGTGGATACTGTCCCAATAGAACTTTTCTTGTTTTGAGGCAAACCATTCCGAGACCCAATTTTCCACTTCTTCGTACATTTTGAAGTGCTGCTCAGAAAGTGTGTGTGCCATCAATCGGAACAAGTGGTAATCTAAAGGAGCAAGGTCTGGTGAATACAGCAGGTGGGTTAATACTTCCCAGGTAAGATCTTTTAATGTATCTGTAACTGGTTTTGAAGTGTGTGATGGTGTATTATCTTGAAGCAAAATTACTTTGCTGTATCTTCTGGACCATTCTGGTTGTTTCACGATCAAAGTGTGGTTCAACTTGATTATTTGTTGTCAGTGGCAATCAGTATTAACAGTTTCACCTGGTTTTAGAAGCCCATAATACACCACGCCTTCCTGATCCTACCAAATGCAGAGCATTGTCTTCTTTCCAAAGCGATTTGGCCTTGCAGTTGATATTGATGGTTGACCTGGATCAACCCATGATTTTTTGCATTTGGGATTCTCAAAATAGATCCATTTTTCATCACCAGTCACAACTCGATGCAAAAAAAGACTTTCTTTCGTGTTGTTGGAGAAACATTTTACTGATGACTTTTCAGTTTTCCATTTGTGTTTTGTTCAGTTGATGTGGCACCCCTTTTCCTTCCTTTAAAATCTTTCCCATCACTTGTAAACAATTGGAAATTGTTTGCTGAGCAACATTTAATCTTTCTGCAAATTGTTTTTGAGTCTGTTACACATCTTTATCCAATAATACTTGGTCTTCAAACCTTTTTGGTTGACTTAGACGTTCTTTGTCTTTTACATCAAAATTATCACTTTTAAAGCATTTTGAGATGGAGCATGTTCACCATAAGCTTCCTAAAGTATAAGATAACTTTTTCTTCAAAATAACGAATTAAAACTTCCTGCAAAAGTTATTTTTTGGCACAGATTTCGACATTTTTTAAAAATAAATTTTTATTGTTCATATTATTACAAATGTCCCTTCCCCCCCCCCTTCCGACCCCACCCTCTGCCCTTTCCCATCCCCCATTGTCCTCAACCATAGGTGCACAGTTTATGTTCAGTCTCTTCCCACATCCCCCTTTCCCCTTTTCCCCAAGAATCATCAGTTCACTCCCCTTCCATACCTCTGATTCTATTATATTCAACAATTAATATTGTTCTCCTCAGACTTTTTTTTTTTTAATTTCCTTGGTTTTTAGATTCACTTGTTGATAGTTACGTATTTGTTGTTCATAATTTTTATCTTTATTTCCTTTTCTTCTGAAAGAACCCCCTTCAGCAATTCATATAATTCTGGTTTGGTGGTGATGAACTCCTTTAGCTTTTTTTTTTATTAGTGAAGCTCTTTATCTGACCTTCGATTCTGAGTGATAGCTTTGCTGGATAGATTATCTTTGGCTGTAGGTTCTTACTATTCATCACCTTGAATATTTCTTGCCATTCCCGTCTGGCCTGCATGGTTTCTGTTGAGAAATCAGCTGACAATCATATAGGTGCTCCTTTATAGGTGACTACCTGCTTAGCTCTTGCTGCTTTTAATATTCTCTCTTTGTCTTTTGCTCTTGGAATCTTAATTATGATTTGTCTTGGTGTGGTCCACTTTGGATTCCTTTTATTTGGAGTTCTGTGTGCTTCCTGGACTTGTAAGTCCAATTCTTTCCCCAGGTGGGGGAAGTTTTCTGTCACTATTTCTTTCAGTATGTTTTCAATATCTTGCTCTCTTTCATCTTCTGGGACCCCCATAATTCTGATGTTGGATCGTTTGAAGTTGTCCCAGAGGTTTCTTACATCATCTTCAATTTTCTGGATTCTCTTGCCTTCTAGCTTCTGCAGAGGAGTGTCTTCTGGCTCTTTATGTTCCAAATCTTTGACTTGATTCTTACGATCTTCTATTCTGTTTTTAGGACTCTGTATAATATTTTTTATTTCAGACAATGTATTCTTTATTTCTTGTTGATCCCTTTTCATATCCTCATAAGTCTCATTTATTTTATCGGCCTTTTCTAGGAAACTCTTGAAAAACCTTATAAGTGTGGTTTTGAACTCTATATCCAGTCGCTTTTTGTCCTCCATTTCTTTCGTTTGTGATCTATTTGGTTTAGGCATTTTTGCAGGCAGCTTTCCTGATGGGGCGGGGTTTCAGGGTGGAGCCTACAGCTTTGGCTTTTGTCAGCCCCGCCCTATGTGACTCTTGAGACTCAGGATCCTTCAGTACTCCTTGAAAGTGCCTCTGAGAGAAAGGTGCCTTCGATTTTCGCCTGCTGCCAAACAGACTAGTCTCTCCCCCAATGGGCTCGAAACTGGGGTTCAGTTCAGTTGGAAGTGGAGTTGGAGGTGGCGTTCAGAGCAGACTGGAGCCCCTGTCTCCTTCCCACCAGGGCAATCCCGTGGCACAGCCAACCGTCCCTTCTCTGCGCGGCGCCGCGGGGACCTCCTTTCGCCTCTTCCCCGGGGTTCCGCCTTTCAGCCAGCTCCCTCTGTGTGAGCCTGGGTCCCTGGGATTTGGCCTAGAACTGGGGTTCAGAGCAGTCAGAACTGGGGCCCAACACAGTCGGAGTTTTATCTCCTTCCCGCTAGGGAACGCCAGCCAGGCACTCCGCCTCCCTCCTCTCTGGCTCCGTCCTCTCCGCGAGCCGCGTGTCTTCGTACCTTGGGCTTTTCCAGCTCCTCCGTTCTTCCTTCTGGTTTCCTCCTTGCTTCTTGTTGTAGAATTTCCAGTCAGTCGACTTTCCTGTAGTTCTGGGTAATGTCCATTTTATATTTTAGTTGTATTTTATTGAAATTGTTGCATGAGGCTGCGGCTAGGTGCCTACCCGAGCAGCCATCTTGGATTCTCCTCAGAATTCGACATTTTTAAGTGTAAAAATATATATGATGCTAACACCTTCAACAAATTTGACACATGAAGTTTTTTTCTTTTCTTTATTGATTAAGGTATTACATGTGTGTCCTTATCCACCCCAACACATAACGTTTTGAAGCTTGCTGTCGAAACAAAAAAATAGCATACGTATCAACTCACATATATATCACCATATGTGTAACTCCATCTATTGAAAAAAAAATCTGCATTATTAACTGGTACACATAGCAAAAATCGGGAAGAATATCTCAATTGTGGAGCAAGGAGTCCTAGTGGCAGGAGAAATCCCCATAAATTTTTTAAAATATATATATTTTATTGATTTTTTACAGAGAGGGAGAGAAAGGGATAGAGAGTTAGAAACATCGATGAGAGAGAATAATCAATCATCTGTCTCTTGCACACCCCCTATTGGGGATGTGCCCGCAACCAAGGTACATGCCCTTGATCGGAATTGAACCTGGGACCTTTCAGTCCGCAGGCCAATGCTCTATCCACTGAGCCAAACTGGTTTTGGCAAAAGAAGTCCCCATAATTTTTAACTGTGAAAACCTGCAAGGGTTATAGCTGAGTAGGACAAAGGGCTCTTGAAGTCCCAAATGTTCCTCTTAAAAAGCCTGTGCAGGAACTTACTTGAATTCATGCACTATGAGCTCCAGCACTGGGGCAGAAGCTCAAAAAGTGCCAGGGATAAATGGGAAAGAACTCAATTATCTGGCATAAGGGCAAGAGTGGAGGGGCAGCTTTCTCCATAGACAGAAGTACTGGCAGAAGCCATTGTTTCTTTGCTGAGCACTCCCACACAGCCCAGAAGAGGCCACAATATCTGAATCTCCATCAACCTGGTGATTCCCTGCAACCCTGCCCCACCCAACTGCTGGACTACCCAAACCCTTTCCAGTGGCTTTTCCTAATAACTGCCTGTCTTAGCTCATGTTGCAGATTTCCCTAAAATCTCTCAAGCAACCACCATCTAACTTCTGTGTACCCACTACCTCTTCTAAGTGGCCCCAGACCTGACATTAACAGCAGCCTAACTTGGTTTGCAGCTTGTCCTATCTTGGGCAACTCCAAGGCCAGCACAAGTAGCAACCATCTAAAGATTGCTTTGTAGCTCATGCCAGGTGGCTCTGGGGAGAGCACAAGCAGCAGTTGATCTTGGACTACAGCTATTAGGAAGCCCAAGAACCAGT